ATATATATTGCATATATGTATGCAAAAAAAGTTGTGTGTGAAAAAGAAAAAGATAGAAAGGAACAAAAATTTTCCTTTATTAGCTTCGCCATGCTGTGATACTTTTTCTACAGTTATTTTATTTCTTTTTTTCATTTTCATTTTTTCTCATTTTATCTTTCTTTAACGAAGCAAAGAAGATCTTTTTTAGAACAGGAGCCCAAACATAAATTATTTTTAAATTGCGATTTTCCAATATATCGTACCGATCGGACGTTTCGTTTCCCTCGATTTGTTGTCGTCTAGGAATAAAAAGAAGGAGAATATATTTTCGAAAATGAACGATAACATAGCGATGAAAAAGTGTGTTTGACGTGGGTGCATCGTCCATGATTAAATTTATCACTGACAAGCGGTACGGAAAAAGCACGCTGACATAACTTTTGTCTCGACCACGTCTGTATCCTTCCGTCGTTCTAGCGACAAGCACGATGAGAGTTAACTTTTGTTGACGCGAGTGTTCGTGCACAGAGCAAAAAGGGTCGCATTAGGAATTTTCGCCAAAATCGAGAAAATGTAGTGTATAACAACATATATATATGTATAGGACGTAGGTACTTTCGAAAAAGTTATCGGAAACGTTCTAAACTTTCTACTTCGGAATTCGTTTCGCGTAGGTATAGTTTTTCTTTTTTCAAAGATTATATTTTTGATTAACACTTCGTGAAACACTCATTTACAGAATTTAATATCTCTTTGTTATATAACTTGTTTTAATACAATTCGTTACAGTTTATATTACGATTTAAAATCGTGAAAAATCATTTTCCATAAAGTATTTACATAAGTTTCTTATTTTATTAAAAAAAAAAAGAACATTTCAAATCAATTTTATGTATTCATCTCTGAATACAAATAAAACATTATATTAAAATAGATTAATAACGAAACTGTTCGTTCGATTTAGTTTTCTTAACGATTTTTTTGGTTAGTTTCGAAAAATACTACTCACGATCACATATTTCCCGTCGAAAAGACGGCATATGGGCTACGATGATGAAGGGACGGTCTGCCCGCCGGCGATCTCGTATTTCCCGTCGATTCTTATTCATCCTGTCTTAATATAAAAGAACACGATTGGTTGACCTCGCAAGGATCCCCGGCGACACGAGGTAGGACACGCGAACGAAGAATGAAAACGAATCGGTGACAACGAAAGAAAGGTACCCTCGTTAACATTTACTTCGTCGCATTACCATGCTTAACGTGTTAACCCTTTTCGCTTTATTTAAGCAATTGTTCTTTGACTAGGGTCTCGTTAAAAACACGCTCGTTACACGATAGTTTTCCATTGATCTTTCATAATGGTGAATAGAAAGAAATACTATTCTATTATTAAAAATCTTTTTAATCATTTTCATTGACGAACAAATTGCTCGTCAGCATGGAAAATGATTTTTTGATTATGAATTTTAGAAATTCTTGCCTATGCTGTAATTTGGTAAAAAGTTCATTCTTTCTCGAGATATACTTGGTACAAAGCTTTTACTTCTCTCTCTTTTTATCTTTCTCTTTCTCTTTCTCTTTCTTCTATCTTTCCTTTTTCCATCTTCGTCTTGCATTGTATGACCTCGTGACGCATCAGGATAAGTGACATTTCGTGTTCCGTCTCGTGAAAGATTTCAGGGATGCACGAGACATAGTAAATAAAAATATATATTCGTTTATAGAAGAAGAGAGCACGATATCGAGCAAGTTTCCCATTTTGCGAGAAAGGTGAAACGCTGTGGCAATAGTACCTATCGATTGTTTATCTTGAACCTAGCGAGATTATTGAGATTCTGGAATCAAAATATTACTCTTATTTTATTGTTTTTATTTTTATTTATTTTTCACTTTTATAAATACAAAATACGAAACTAAAGTGAAAATTTTGAGTAGGGCTATCGTACGACGCAGTTATTCAACGAGCAAGAATCGAGGAATACTTTCTACGGTTTGAGATATCCAAGGTAGCCGCGTTCTTGCGCTAACGAGTGGGCCTTAAAAGGGGGAAAGAGTTTCCCCGATCACCGGTTAACATCTTTGTCTCGTCCTTTCGAGGCCGGCTTGTGAATATATTCATGAGAAGGAGTGCGCGAGCGAGCGAACGAA